GGGGGGGGGTGATGAGCAGTAGAAACTCGGACCAGGAGACGGAAGATCGGAGGTATAAATTTAAGAATAAAAATAGAAAAAAGGAAACTCAAAATAGCAAAGAAGCAGGAGAACAAAGAGAACTAGGAGAGAAGGGAAAGGTCTAACAATTTCATGATTAACGCAGGTACAACATGTTCTGTATATCCATTCAGTCGTACTGTCCAGTCAGGCTACTAAATTTTGAGTCGACCCAGCACATTTTATGCAACAAATGTAGCCTGGCAAGATCACAGTGGACAACGTATTATTCCCCCCCCCCCTCTGCAAATTCAGAGAAAATATTGAATATAGGCACGTACTACGTAGGGAAGGCAACGTTGATTTTTCCCTCAACTGATAGATCGAGGCCTGGAAAGAAGCAGAATATTAAACTACAGGTTGAGATGGAAAGTCTGGAGCAGATTTTAAAAAAATCCTAGAATCCTGTCGAAGAAAATTCTTCTGATTTGATTGACATAGATCTGTCAGAAGGTTGATCAAACTAAGCGGTCAAATTATCCCTGGATTTATTTATCCTTTCATGATCCGAACTAAGATGTCGGGACGAAAGCTTAGTGACTCCAGGGGGACCAGGAGAACCAGGAGACCACACGCAAATAAAAGTCAAAATATTTAAACGTGTTTCCGCCTATTCACAAGTTTCCGTCCTTTGTGTGAATATGTTTACACAATATTGAAGAAATACTAACATTTAGTTTCCTTTCTAGAGATTTCGGTGTTTCTTTAAATCTTTCTTTTCATTCTACTACATTGGTCTTTTTTCCTTTTTTAGTTCTTTCAATATTTTCTTTCCCTTTTTTCGCTTGAACATTTAGAATTCAGGTTTTCAGTTTTGATTTTAAATTATCAAAACTCTTTTCGGTAGAAGAAAAAATCTTATTTTGTGTTTCAAACAAGTCTAGCTGATCAAATGACTAATCAAAGTTTATTACTTTTATTTTATATCAGAGGCCCTCTGCCCTTGCTATTTCTCCTTTAGCCCTCATCCCCTATTTAACTTTTCCTAGTTCAGGCCTACCCGTCCCCCTTTTCCTAGTTCAGGCCTACCCCTCACCCTTTTCCTAGTTCAGGCATACCCCTCCCCCTTTTCCTAGTTTAGGCCTACCCGTCCCCCTTTTCCTAGTTATCCCAAGGTTTGCTCCATATCCTATCCCCCTCTTTACTCCCAAGGTTTTTGCTGCATATCCTAACCCCCTCTTTACTCCCAAGGTTTGCTGCATATCCTACCCCCCTCTTTACTCCCAAGGTTTGCTGCATATCCTACTCCCCTCTTTACTCCCAAGGTTTGCTGCATATCCTACCCCCCTCTTTACTCCCAAGGTTTGCTCCATATCCAACCCTCCTCTTTACTCCCAAGGTTTGCTCCATATCCTACCCTCCTCTTTACTCCCAAGGTTTGCTCCATATCCTACCCCCCTCTTTACTCCCAAGGTTTGCTCCATATCCTACCGCTTCCTATAAATGAATGTAAAACTTGGCTTACATTGAAAATTTGAATTTTAGAACAACGGGGGGTTCCTTTCAGGGACAAAAATAAATCCCTTAATTCTAAAAAAATTCGTTTAATATTTTATTTCTTTAAAAAAAAATATGCATTTAGATAATAACATTTTAGGAAAGTATATTTAAGTGCCTACCTCCCTTCTAGAGCACCCATTTTTCTCTCCTCCCCCATACCCATTAACCACCTTCCCCTCCCCTTTTTACCACCTACTCCCCCCCCCCCACTCCTCCCTTGAAGGTGGTTCCGCCACAGCAAGTATTACACCCGGTGTGGTTTCCTGCTGTGAATTCCTATGAACATTCTTGATGATATGAAATCATGAATCAGAAAATGTTTTACGAGTCTTAAACATTTTTATGCATTTAACCAGCTTAAACTTAAATATCATTTCATCGGCAGAATGTATCTTTACATCAGAGAAACGTAACTTGGAAGAATTAAGGTTTTTTATCGTTCAAGGGTAATCTTAATCTTTATAAAGTAGTAATCTCTGTCTGTTTGTTTGTTTGTATCTCAAATCATAACTCATGAACCTCTGGACCGATTTGCCTTAAATTTTTATTAAGCAACTCGGAAGAACTGCAAGAATGTTTTTATTGTGGATTTCAGATGCTAAGGTACGTCAGTGTGTCTACTTTTATAGGGAAAAATCGTAATGTAAGACCTATCGCGGGAAAACGGCGGAAATAAGTATGAGTAACGTGGGCAACGCCATGGGTTCCCAAGCTAGTATAACATAAGTTTAAACCTGAACCTTTCCAGTGAGCTCATAATCCTGGAGCTGGTAAGTATGAATTTAAACCTAAACTGGAGACATATATCTGGTATGGCTCTGACCCTGCAGGGACTAACTATTAACATGGAGCAAGCTAGGAAAAAAGTTTAAATTGAAGCTAGATAGAGAAACTTCTTACATGGGCCTTGCTAGGATATGCTCAAAAACTTCATATTGCGTAGGAAAGTAAAATTTTTAATCTGGAGCTATGTCGTAAACCCACCAAACTGTAGCTAGTCAGAATATCTCCTAACCTGGTGCCAGTATAACCCTTACTCTGGAGACGGTCTCTACATCTCTTATCCTGGAGTTAGCTGTACATCTCTTCTTCTGGAGTTAGCCAAAATATTTCCTGACCTGGAGCCAGCCAGTATATCTCCTAACCTGGAGCAAGCTTGCATAACTCTGAACCTGATTAATGAGAAGTTAATCAGTGATGATCAAGCAGGAATTATAGAATAAAAACTTTGGTCTATTGATACGCTGACAAGTGCCAAGCAAGAATTTGATCCTCAATAGATTAGACTTTCAGGGATAAATACTCTCTATCATATATATTCATCATGTTTATAGGGATCAATACTCTCTATCATATATATTCATCATGTTTACAGGGATCAATACTCTCTATCATATATATTCATCATGTTTACAGGGATCAATACTCTCTATCATATATATTCATCATGTTTACAGGGATCAAAGCTCTCAATCATATATATTCATTATGTTTTTACAGGGATCAATACTCTCTATCATATATATTCATCATGTTTACAGGGATCAATACTCTCTATCATATATATTCATCATGTTTACAGGGATCAAAGCTCTCAATCATATATATTCATTATGTTTTTAGGGATCAATACTCTCTTTCATATATTCTTCATGTTTACAGGGATCAATATTCTCTATCATATATATTCATCATGTTTATAGGGATCAAAACTCTCTAACATATATATTCATTATGTTTATAGGGATCAATACTCTCTATCATATATATTCATCATGTTTATAGGGATCAAAACTCTCAATCATATATATTCATTATGTTTATAGGGATCAATACTTTCTCATTTATATTCATTATGTTTACAGAGATAACTTAAGTCTAAAAGTCGTCTTCCTTTTTCAGAGTTTTCACTATAATGATTTAAACCAAAGGAACTGTGTTTTTGCCAAAAACTCTGATTTCCTAATTCTTGTTTTCAACCTGCTGTTCTTTACCGGCCTTTGATATTTAATCTAACATTATTTGATCTAAAAGACATTTGAGCTGACATTAAATTGTAAAGATCTCATATATATTCATCATGTTCACAGGGATAAGTACTATCTTTCATGTATATTCATAATTTTTACATGGATCAATTCTCTTTATCATATTTATACTTCAAATTTACATGATGTCAAAAAATGATAAAAACATACTTGCTAACATCTGATTTTTTAATGGAAATTTAGAAATATTATGAAATGATTAGGAAGGTGAAGAGAAAGAGGTATTAACCAAAAAGGAGCAAAGAAATTTTTTTTCTCTGAATAACTTTTAACTGGTCAAATAATAAGTTTTGCAAAAAGCTTTGAAACATTAACCAAGCACATGTTGAGTTAGTCATGAGTTATCATAATTTTTTCAAACATAGATTTTGGAACTTTTCAAGAAAATGAAAGAAATCAAGTTAGTCTAATTAAAGGTGTGAAGTAAATATATAGTGTTGTATATCCGTAGCCTGGGGCTCAAGGGTGGTCCAGGGATCCCTGGTGCCCATTACTAACACCCCATCCATCCCAGCATCTGGTGACAGCCAGCAGAGGAACCGAAATCAGAACCCGACCACCAGCGATGTCAAGTGTGGCGTTCAAATCCCTCCAAGTCACGTGATCCGCGCTGGGGTCACGTGACCAGGGGTTTGATAACGTGGTTGGGTTGGTTGGGCAGAATTGGGGGGGGGCGGGGTTTAAGAGCTGAGTTTCAAGATGAAATCCTGCTCCACTCACACAGAATCAGTAGTGAGCTGAACGTCGCAGAGAACAGTATTAAATCATGTCACTTTTCGGAGGATACCCTTTCCAGGGCCAGGGTAGAGTAAACCAGCTCGGAGGTGTATTTATCAATGGTCGACCTCTACCTAATCATATAAGATTGAAGATTATAGAGATGGCTGCTGCTGGAGTAAGACCTTGTGTTATTAGTAGACAGCTCAGAGTCAGCCATGGTTGTGTTTCTAAAATATTAAATAGATACCAGGAGACAGGAAGTATTAAACCCGGAGTTATTGGTGGGAGTAAACCTAGATCTGGAGCTGATGATATAGAGAAGAAGATTGAAGAATATCAACAATTAAATCCTGGTATATTTAGCTGGGAGATAAAGGAAAGACTAGTTGAGGACGGAATATGTAATTTAGAATCTGTACCTAGTGTATCCACTATATCTAGATTACTACGTGGAGAGGGAGAAGAGAAACAGAACCATAGTATTGATGGAATACTTGGACCAGGTAGTGATGAGTCTGATATAGATACTGAACCTGGTTTAACAATAAAAAGAAAACAAAGAAGAGCAAGAACAACTTTCTCTAATTCTCAATTAGAACTTCTGGAAGAATACTTTCAAAGAGCTCAATACCCTGATGTATACACTAGAGAGGAGATAGGACAAAAGACCGGAATGTCTGAATCTAGAATCCAGGTTTGGTTCTCCAACAGAAGAGCTAGACTCCGTAAACAGATCTCCGGAGGAGTTAGTTCTGTATCCCCTGTATCCCAGTATCAGGATACATCATCCTACTACTATAATTACAATTATAATCCTTTAGTTAACATGTATCAAGACTATTCTCAGTACGGATTCTTCTCTCATCACCAACCCCAACCTGGAGTAGTGCCTGGAGTATTACCTGGAGTAGGACTAGGAGGAGCAGAGTTTGCTGAGAACAAATATTTCAGTCAACTTGCTTCAGGAAGAGCGTAAACAATATCATTGTAAATTATACCTTTCTCAATTGTGATAATAACTGTATATTTATCTTTTAATAATAAAATGTAAGTTCTGAATATCTTGTATTATAAAGGTTTAGTTTGGTAAATTATTTATTTTGTTTATCGATGGTAGATAATGTAGATTAATATAAAAATAGTTTCTTTTGCGAGTAAAATGAAAGGTGTTAAATTTTAATTCACCGAAAAAAAGAATTTTCTCAAAAAATTTGAATTTCATGCATTCTTCAAAGAATATATATGTTGGTCTCATCTTTCTCATTAATCATAGAAAAATGTCCTTTCAAATTTTGTTAGATCAAATAAACTAATATTTAAATATAAAATTTTAGGGATTAGAAAATTTGAATTTGTGGCAAAGGAATTGAGTCTTTGCCACAAACTCTGTTTTTCTAAACCCTATATCTTTGGATTCCAATGTCGTAGACCTTAGATATTTCAAACTATGAATTCTGTTAGATCAAATAATATAAGTTTGAAATATCAAAGATTTAAGACATGGGGTTCTAAAGATATTTGAATTATAAATTCAGAGTTTGTGGCAAAGACTCAATTCCGTTTTGACAATTTATATCATACCAATCTAAATGAACGGGGTTTTAGAAAACAAGTTGATAATTTTCATAAAAAGTTTTAAATTAAAATTATCGGAATTTCTATAGAAAATCATATTTGTAAGTTTCGAATTATAAAACGTTTACTCGACCCCCTTCCAGCCTTCACTACGAATTAAATGTATTTCAGTTAAACTAAATAATTTACCGATTTTTGGAATTTAAGTATTCAGGCGGAATTTAGGGAAGAAAGTTTTTGTAACGTAATAAATTAATAATTAATTTGGATAAAAAAAAATTATTAAAAACACGTTTTCCGACGACAACTAGTACTTTAGAAAATCATCAGAAAAAGGAAATATTTTTAAATCATCATTGTTGTCACGGCATGTTAAAGTTTAAATTTCTTTTTATAATCTTACAGTACGATTTTCTTTCTAAAAACTTTGTTATTAAAAAGTATGATTTCAGTCGAGTTTTCGTATTCTAAAAAGTTTACCGAAAAGTTTTCACTGCTAAAGGTTTGCAATCTGATAAACTGCTATATATAGAGTTCCTTCCAAAACGGCCTCAGCCTAATGTGAACCAAATGAGGCAGTTTTTTATATTTTTTTTTTAATAAAGGCATAAGTATTTATTCTAAAAAAGAAGAGTTTTTTCCACAAACTCAGTTTTTCTTAATCCATATATCTATTATCTTTGCAATTCAATGTCAGCTCAAATATCTTTTAGATCAAATAATGTTAGATTAAATATCAAAGGCCGGTAAGCAACAGCAGGTTGAAAAGATACAAGGATAAGGAAATCATAGTTTGTGGCAAAAACTCAGTTCCTTTGGTTTAAATCACTACAGTGAAAACTCTGAAATAGGAAGACGACTTTTAGACTCAAGTTATGGCTTTAAATAGTCCAATAAACATATAGACACCGCAATTGTGCAATGATAACAGAGCCATTTCCTTAGTTTGTTATTAAGAAGTGTCTAGTAAAACTATTTGCTTTGTAACAACATCAAATACACCTAAGTATTCAAATCAAATCAAAATTTATTTCTGCAGAAAAAAAAACAATATTTACGAATTTAATTTTTAAAAATCACAATATGTAAAATATTATTTTCCGCAGCAGGCGGACTCAATAGCCTGTGGCTGTTTTAGCTGAGCCCCCCTGTTAACCAAATTCTTTGATTGAGTTCTAGCATTTATGTCGTCTTCCTATTTCAGAGTTTTCTGGTTATCGCTGTATCTTTTTTACTTTTAAATTGAATTTGTCACATGATTTGATCTTTTGTCAAGCAAGATAAATAAACTTCGTGAACAGTCATTTTCTTTTAGAAGTTAAAAGTTGGTCCCTTAAATATTAAAAGTTGGTCCCTTAAATATTAAAAGTTGGTCCCTTAAATATTAAAAGTTTGTCCCTTAAATATTAAAAGTTGGTCCCTTAAATATTAAAAGTTGGTCCCTAAAATATTAAAAGTTGGTCCCTTAAATATTAAAAGTTGGTCCCTAAAATATTAAAAGTTGGTCCCTTAAATATTAAAAGTTGGTCCCTAATAGATCAATGTCTGGAACAGATATCAATGATCAGAGTTGAGGTTCGGGAATATTTGTGATAATAGAATTAACTGGGATTAAAGTGATATTTGGCATATTTAGATCAATTCCTTGTAGGAGAGTCTGAATACGCCGATAAACAGAGCGACGAGAATTAGGATAATCGAGCAATAGGAAAACTTTCAGAACTAACCAGAGAAACCAGAGAAACCAGAAGTACCAGGGAAACCAGGGAAATCAGGGAAACCAGGGAAACCAAGGAAACCAGGGAAACCAGGTAAACCAGGGAAACCAGGGAAACCAGGGAAATCAGGGAAACCAGGGAAACCAGGGAAACCATGGGAACCAGGGAAACTAGGGAAACAGGGAAACCAGGTAAACCAGGGAAACCAGGGAAACCAGGGAAATCAGGGAAACCAGGGAAACCAGGGAAACCATGGGAACCAGGGAAACTAGGGAAACTAAGGAAACCCGTGAACTAGAAACTAAAGGAAACCAGTGAAACCAAAGTAACCAGGGAAACCAGAGAAACCAGGGAATCCAAGGAAGCCAGGGAAACCAGGGAAACTAAGGAAACCACAGAAACCACAGAAACCACAGAAACCAGGGTTACCAGGGAAAGCAGGAAAACCAGGGAAACCAGAGAAACCAGGGAATCCAAGGAAACCACAGAAACCACAGAAACTACAGAAACCAGGGAAACCAGGGAAACCAGGGAAACCAGGGAAACCAGGGAAACCACTGGAACCAGGGAAACCAAGGAAACTAGGAAAACCAGAGAAACCAGGGAAACCAGGGAAACCAGGGAAACCACAGAAACCAGGTAAACCAGGGAGAAACAAGGGAGAAACAAGGGAGAAACCAGGGAGAAACCAGGGAGAAACCAGGAAGAAACCAGGAAGAAACCAGGGAGAAACCAGGGAGAAATCAGGAAAACCAGAGAAACCAGAGGAAACAATGAAACCAGGGAAACAAGGGAAGCCAAGGAAACCAGGGAAACCAGGGAAACCAGGGAAACCAGGGAAGCCAGGGAAACTAGGGAAACCAGGGAAACAAGGAAAACCATGGAAACCAGGGAAACCACGGAAACCACGGAAACCATGGAAACCAGGGAAACCAGAGAAACCAGGGAGAAACCAGGGAAACCAGGGAAGCTTTAGAAACCAGGGAAACCATAGAAACCAGGGTGAAACCTGGGAAACCAGGGAAACCAGGGAAACCAGAGAAACCAGGAAAACCGGGAAAATCAGTAATTGTGTAGATTAGGGAAACTAGTGAAATCTCTATGATCTTCCTTATGTAACATTGATCTAAGCCTGTTGTTGAAATGTCTAGGATTGGGCAGCAATAGGGAGAAGAGATGGGGTTGGAAGGTAAAGAGGTGATTAAGATCGAGTAATGATCATTCATTGTAGAAATTAATTAAAAATCAGATAATTGATAAGCACTTGATGATAGCTCTGTGAACACACGTGAACCTATAGATGGATGAAAGGTGGAGAAATGTTTAATTATTGTAAACCTAGCGGAGAACACTCTAGATGAGTCCCCAGTGGGTTCTAATGAATGGTCAGAAAACAGTTAGAACCTATTAAATTTTTCCTCTCCGCCCCTTCTTCTCCACAGCTCTCCCCGCCCTCCGCCCTACTTCTCCACTTTCCCCCCCCCCTACTTTTCCACATCTTCCCCACATCCTCCCCTTCACCTTCTCTCCGCACCCCCACACTCGTATTCTCCTGGCCCCAACTTATAATCTATACTCCCGTTTAAATCAGTTCACACGGATACCAATCCTTCTCCAATACCTTCTTTTCTCCAAACCTCATATTCTCTCTCTCTCTTCTCTTATTCTCTCCCTCTGTTACTCCTCATATACTCCAATTTAATCCCTCCCACCCCTTTCGTCCCATCTTCCCTTTTCCATACAGCCCTTCTCTGACTTTTATAGCACGTACTGTTACGGCAAATCTCATTTTGTAATAATTAAATTTTATTCTTTTCATAGTTTTTCAATCAGCGTTGTTTTTGTTTTCAACAAAGCAAATTTTGAAAAAGAAATATTAAAGGTTGTTTTTATATGATATTTCAAACGTTGCATCTTTATAGTGATGGTTTGTTACTTTTACTTTCAATACTCAAAAAAAAATATTTAGACTTTATTTTAATTTCTTTGGGAGCGTGCTTTCTACTGAACAAAAAAGAAGCTTTAAGTCAAGGTTATAATGTAAGGAAAGTTATTTGCAGTTGCGGATACTCTGCGTACACATTGAAACCAGTTCTTTCTGGGCGGAATTTGTAAACAATAATAGATAAATCAGTGTTCTTTTAGTATCCGAGGAGGTTAAAAGCATTAAATTTTAATAATTTTAAATATTCACATAATAGTTTCCTATGACCAGAGTAGTTCATTGATTTTTTATGTGAAAGATGGATCCCATCCAAAAGATGCGTACACCTCTGAAAATAACTTTCCTTGCATTATAACCTTGCTTTAAGTAGACTGATCCAAGTGAATGCTGATGAAGAGAGGAAAGGTGGACAAGCAGGGAGAGCCTTTTTGTCAACGTAATTAATTGAGGTTTGCAATTTTTCATAATTACATATTTTCAAGCTTAAATTTTCTTCTTGTTTGTTGTGTCAACAAATTAAGTTTTCTCCTTGAAGCCCTTGTCTCAATGAAAGGTAAATTTCACGGAATTATTCTCCAAGAAATTGGCCTGTGTTAGGCTTTCCATTATTTCAGGTATGTCAAAGGTAACAAACCTCGAAATCGATATTATACGGCAGGCGGCGGGCTTTGCCGCCAACGCTTCAGGCTGGCGGCAAATATTTAACGCTGCCCTCACGCGTAGCCATTTGGAAGGGGGGGGGGGCAGGAAGAAGGAATTTAAATCAAACACGGTTAGCAAATATGTAATTATTTCCCTTAAAAATTCAATTTTATCGAAGA